CTCGAGGCGCGACGCGACGCTCCGCCCGCGATGTGACGCTCCGCCGACTCCGCCCGCGAATCGACGCTCCGCCGCCGACTCCGCCCGCGACGCCCGCGAAATTTTTGAATTTAGGCGCGGGATTTGGCGGAAACAAGTGGTTTCGGGTTGACCCGAACCCGAACCGGGTCGGGTTCGGGTCCGGAAAATCGATCCGTTTTTGCAAACGGGTCGGGTTAGGGTTGACCCGATTTTTGCCGGGTCAGTTCCGGGTTGACCCGAACCCGACCCGTGACCTGAAATTGACAGGTCTAACAGGAACACACGCAAATTTTACATTAGACAAATATGCCATTTATGATGACCGATTTAAGGATTATCCGATTCAAAATAGTCAAACATGTTCAAGCAAGAGCCGACCCAGGACCCCCAATATCTTCATAAAACACCTCCTTGAACCTTCCCATATAACTCTCCTCCATGGCCATCACCACCGAAACTCCTCCATCCTCCTCCTCCTCCGGCGAACACGGCACAATAAAAGCTTGCCCAGCAACCTGCAAACACGCCGCTCCCATATAAAACGGCTTCCCCCATCCAAAATCCGCGTCATAGATTGGCATACCCATCCAACTAACCACCCACAAATCCGTCTCCGGTAGCACCCACGCTACTGCCCTCGGCCTAATGGCCTCAATCTCATCCACCTTCTCCTCCAAGTAATCCACCAACGACCTTATATATTCATCATCAATCACCTTTAACGCAGCCTCGATCTTCGCCACTCCGATCTCCGACACCTCCCCTGCCTTCGCCCGCGCCGACGTGCGGAAGACGGCGTTACCGAGGTAGCCAGCGGGGAGAGGCGGCCGAAGACGGTTTCGGGCGTCGACAATTATGTAGAGTCGCGTCAGGCTGGATGGGTCGAGCTCGCGGGCCTTGCAAGCGGAGCGCCAGATGTGGAAGACGACGGCTTTGAAGGTGGAAATAGGGGTTTTCTGGTTGTTGTTACTGTTGTGAGTGGTTTTGAGGAGGGCGAGATGGTGATTGGAGAGTTTGAGAATGGCGGAGGGGAAGGAGGGTAAAGTGGAAGAAGGGGTGAATGGGATTTGGGAATATTCGATGTGGGCGGAGGCTATGGAAGAAGGGGAGCGGGCGCGGAGGAGGGTGCGGTGGAGGGACGGGGGAATGAGGATGTGAGTGTTGGTGTGGGTAATTCTGGCCCATGAGTTTATAAAGTGGATGGATGCGAGGCCGTCAGCTGCGGTGTGGTGAATGGCCGTGCCGAGGCATACGCCGCCGCAACGGAAGAACGTTAGCTGCAAGTCAAGTTGATTGGGAAAATTTAATTAGCAGCCCATAAAAAAATTTACTTGACCAAGCACAAATTTAAAAATAAATTCTAAAATTTCAGATTTAACAAACTTATGATCGAAACTAGGATTTGACAAGATGAACCAAACAATATCAAAAGTATCTTAATCTTAGTTCAAATGAGCCTAATCAAGTACTATATAGTGCAGCAGCTTCGTTTGATGAATCAGGTGATATTTGAATATTGTGTGCTTATAAACAAAATAAGTATCTCAACGAGAAGAATCCAAAAAACTTAATATTCTCAATTCTAAAATCATTAAGACATTTAAATACCTAATTAATTTTATATTATTAAAGGTGTCAACACATACAATTTGATAGGGATTTGTGATTTAAAATCAAGATAAACCAAAATGCCCCTCGACAAAAATTTATAGATTGACATAATTCTAGTCATTTGAGGAGATTATATGAGGCCATAAGAAGGATTCTAAAAGAGAGAACTCATAGTTTTATATTCAAGCACCCAACACCATCAGCATCAATAAAGTCGTTGTATATCGTCAACACCAATGGTGATGCTCGCTGATGCCACCAAGGTTATCACTTAACTTTGACTCCAATGCTCACTCCAACAAGGTCATTGCTCACTAAAGACAGCAAAGTCGTCATCAATAACGTAGATGCACGCTCACTATAGTCGATGCATGTTATGGACACCAAGACTGATATTTAGCAATTAAGAGACTATTTTGTCTCAAAGTAAATAGTTATCCATATAATATCCTATCATGATGCTTAGAAAAATATTTTGTTCTGAATGTTTTCTTCATTTTTTAAAGAGAGATTGGTTCTTTCTAATCTCTTTTCTTTGGATAGGGTGTTTGTCCAATAAATTTGAACATACCCTTCTTAATTCATCTTAGCAAAAGGAATTCTTTAAAATTCATCCATTTTATAATAGTCAAAGAATTTATACATTTGAATTAACAATCTAGGTCTTATGTCATGTACACCATTATGAGCTACTAAAATGCTAGAAGTTATATAGTGGAGCTCACTAGTTGAAATTTTATGCTACAATCATTTGCTTGCAAATAATATATTTTATTTCCAAGTTAATGATATTAACTTAAACTATCATAAAAAAAACTAATTCATCTCAAAAGTTCTAGAGTATCTCAAATTCTCGAAGATAAGTCCACAACAAAAAATACTCATCTTGTTAAGAAATCAAAAATAAAAAATTATGAAATTGCTCTTTTCAAGCTTTGCTCTAAAATTAAACTTAATAGAGGTGGGAGGCCTTTTGTTGAAATTAGTGGCTATAAATGATTCTATATGTTTAGTTTATTGTGTAAGGATGTAATTTGAAGTTTTTATAGGAAGATAAGGCCATTAGAGAGCTAGGAGGAAGAAACATCAAGACTAGTCAAAATTTGATTATTTTTTGCGCTGATTTGAAATATTTGTTTTGGAATAGGTTTTAAGTGGTCAAAATAGTGGACAATGGAGATGATGTTTAGTTTATGATATGAACTTATGATTCAGATAGTTCGTGGAATTTGATGGGGTTTAAGGCCTTATAGTTGAATGGAAAATAGGATTAGCTAGTTGTCCAATTAAACTTAGTTGAAAACTATAAGGAAGTGTATGAAGTTTTTTGAAGACTTGGATGATGGATAAATTGGCTTGGCTGATGATTAGGGTGTGGAGTGATGTGTGAGAATGATTTAGAAAATATTTTGGGAGTGTTATCAAGTACTTACAAGATAAATAATCAATACCATCAAGAAAAAGTCAAGCTAAGACACCAAGCATTAATACAAAGAAAAATTAAGAAATTCTTTAAATAATTTATCATTCTAAAAGATATCACATACTAGCACTATTTATAATATTACAATAATTATTATCATTAAAAAAAGAGAGAAATTTTGGAGGTGAAGTTGGGTGGCCATTAATGGAGGAAGATGCTAACTTACTTTATTAATTCATTTTTGATACATCATCAAAAATTATCTTGATCGGGCACAAATCTCAAGGCAAAATCAAGTTGGAAACTTCCGAAATTAAAATTGGGACCATCTGAATTCCGATTTCATCAAACTTATAGTCGAATTGAATGTCTCGGAAATATGAACCCAACGACACCAAATCCGACTCAATTCGAGCTCAAATGGGTCCAAATCAAGGGTCCGAAGAGCTATTGAAGGGTTCAAACCATAATTTGGATTACCAAACAGTTTTCAAACATGATGTGCTTATATTCGAATTGAGAGGTTCGACAAGACGAATATAACGAGCCTAAGATCACTGAATTCCGACATCACTAAGGCATTCAAATGTCTATTATTTAGTCCATGATCAAGGGATTCAACATCAGCCGTCCATCCAAACCACTCCCATTTGCCCTTGATCCTTCTCCTATTTACGGGCTATGCCACTCTAGAAAATATATAAATAGACCGCTCATTCTTCTCGAGAAGGGAGGCTCCAAGCAAGAGAGAGATCGGAGATCGCTCTTGTCTCCATGCTCCTCCTCGACCACCGCCTGAGTTCCATTGGATTTTAGACTCCATAGATTTAGTTTGGCCTACTATTTAACTTTATGAGTCACATCTAATCAACCCAATGTCTCTAGTCAACCTAACCATCTCTCTTAATATTGTGTTGACACTAGGTCATTCAAATTGACTTGATCCTCATTAAAGATTATACGACTAGAACACTTATTCTTAGACCCCAAGGGAGCCATTTTGGACTCATCAAGTCGAACCTAGGTCAATTTATTATAACCCTTAATCTAAACCCATTTAGAATCTTCTAATTTGATTTTCCTAAACCTTAATTACCCATTTCATTCCCTAAGATCCACCTAGTCCAGGATAGATCAATTCAATTTAGTCAAACCTACATCAAATAGGCTAATTAGACTTAACCTAAGGCAACTTATGCTAGCTTAACATGAACCTTAGGAATCCTCAAGCCTAACTGATGCGGAGCATCCTCACCGTCGGATGAGTTACCGTTAATTTAAAATACTTTTATATTACATTTTACTTATTTGCTTTTAGTTAGAGCCACAGTCTGCTCCATTAGTTTGCTAACCGCTTTTAGTATTTAGTACAAGCACTTTCGTTTGTTACCAGAGCTATTTTTAGCTCACCTGTTTTGTATTTCTTCTCCCTAAGAAGATGAGTTCCTTAGTTGAAGATATACATTTTCAGGCTAAAGCCTTTCTAGTTTTCCTGCCTTTTTTGATTGTTTTTATGAACCTGATTCTTCCGGTGCATACCACATCACTAACTTTCACTTAAGCATCCTTGGCATGGTCAATGGTTTAAATTTATGACCAAATTCCCTTAATAGAAATGTCAAAATTAGGCTTAAAGTACGCCTAAAACTAAATTAAATTGAGGAAAGCCTTTGCATGGGTAAAAAGACACATAGATTTATCCCTTAGCAGCTATTCTAACAAGGCTTGTCCTCACCTTAGCCTATAAACCGAGACAGATGAGTGGAAAGGGGAGAATCCAAACACTGAACATCTAGACAAAGCCGAATATAGCTTTAGGCTTCGTTTGAGACAACTTTCTTAAAAGCTGTAAAAGAATTGTCCCAAACGAAGGCTTAGAAGGCAGAAGCAGAACCCAAAAATAGAAACGACCCAGCTCAAGGCTTTATCTTCTTTGATTATTCAATGCAAGTATTTCGCCTCAGATCATTTAGATTGCTTTAGGATATTTAGGATTAGGTTAGCCATCCTACAGAGCTTCATTAAATTCAAACAAACACCCTTTTATTCCCCATAATAGCAAGCATGAACTCCCCGTTTAAAAATGTATAAGAAAAGAGGGGAACGAAGTTCAGCCTCCAATGCCTACGGGCTACGCCATCTCATGCCCCGGCGAGCCCGGCCCCTTACCGACTAACCTCCGCACAGCACTCGACATTTTTAGCCGAGCAATAGCCAGCCTCTTCACACTCTCATAGAGGCGAAATTATTTTGTGTGAACGTCAATGCCGTACAGAGCCCAATGAAAATGTGTCACGTCATGTAAAACCCTTCCAAAACTGATTTTTTTGAGTGCAGTTAGTCCGTACGAACTGGCTTTAGTACGGGACGAACTGAAGAAAATTATGAAGAAACCTGTCAATTTCATCTGTACGAACCTGGAAGGGTCGGGACGAACCGTCGGAACGAACTGAACCCGAGCGCATCGTCCAGGGACGAAATAAATTGGAATTAATTTCGTCTGTACGATCCGTGTCCAGAGGAGTTCGTCCCGGGACGAATTTGGATCGTCCGGGACGATCAGTGTTGATAAATATCCGTTAGAGATATTTTGGATTTATTTGAAGAGAGAGAAAGTGAAGGCAGGAGAGAGAAAGTGAAGGCAGGAGAGAGAAAGTGAAGGAAAGAAAAGAAAAAACTTGGTTTTGGAGCCCGCGGAGCGCTTTTCGTCCGACGACGCAGTTGGAAGATTTGTCTGTCTCGTAGTAAGGACTCCGAATCCTATTTCTGTTTTCGAAGATTTTGTGTCTTGGTATTTTTCTGCCCAGTTTTGTGTTTCCATTACCGAATTTCTTGCATATCTTTGAAATGACGAAAGTTTTACCGCGCAACTTTTGATATGTTTCTGATATGATATGTTTGAACGTTTTGAGTATTTTATGTAAAATTTCTACCTGTTATTTTGATTTCCGTGCGATTTTTATCGAATAGAAAATTATTTTGATGTTAAAAAATGTTGCTTCAGTACGATAAAAGTCTTATAATATTGTTGCAGATATTCTGTGATAATTTGGTAAATTTTTGAATTTGTGATTTCTGTGTAAATTCTATATACTGTCGTCTTGCCGCTGACAAGTTTTCTGACGAACTCCGATTTTCTGATTTGAATGTTTTGATGTGTGCATGTTATCAGAAAGGAGTTATAGGGGCCGAAATCCTATGTGATCCCGTTGTCTGGGTCTGAAAAATCTGAAATGAGCTCTG